GGGCATGCGACGGGGTTGCGATGGGGGGTTCGCTACGGTTCGCGAATAGTTTTTGTGACGAATGAGAACATAGAACAATCCCCCCCCCGTGGCAGGAAGAGAAATAGACTCACCATCATAGAAAGAGGCACCCGTATGGAAGCCGTGGAAGGGATCCGCTACAGAGGGGACATCCCGAGGCGCTGATGCCGCGATCAGGGTGTCGAGAGGTTTGCTGGTGGTGGTCATTTTGAAGAAAAAGGAAGAGGTTTATTGCTCCAGTTTGGTCCTACCAAACTGCATTGAATCCTGAGCAATGGGGAAGAGCTGTCTGCTAGCTAGCTCTTGTCTATTGTTGTTGCTTTAGACAGCTATTTGACATGTTCTTTTCTCCTTGGTTGGATTGCTTCATTTTGACTGATATTATATTCTTGAACTGGTGGTGTTCGGTTCTGCTGTGGTCTGTCCTTTCTTCACGGGAATCCATTGGAGTCCTGAGACACGCGAAGGCAATACAAATATTTCGAATGAAAATACAAAAAATGATACGGTAGAAATAACCACCTGGCGTGAAATAGGGCATGGAACAGAGGTGTCAACTGCCGGCAACAACAAGCCAATTAAAAGTTTCCGAAAAATACTGCAACCAATAGTTTGAAAAATAATGATTCTGTCGTAAGAGTACATTACCGTACCGTGATGATCATGAACCCCTAAACGGTACGAAACTGTCGCTCCGTAGTTTGTTTCCGACGAAGGTGCTAAATGAATCCGGTTGTGTGAGCTCCAGAAAACCACAATCTCATCTACATCTCACAACAGGTTAGACGAGGCAAGTTGTTGAATAGTTCGATACAATGATAAAAACGAACATGCCCACTGAAATGCGAGGTCCGAGAATTCGGTGGTGCGTAGCGATATTGGTAGTAGCAGCAATTTGGGCGTGTGATGCAAAACCGATGTTTGGAAGACGGAGAGCAGTTCCTCCGTTGAAGAGAAAGATGCAGTCTTGGTTTATTCGGAATCGCTCCCAGTCCAAGATGTCCGACACGATGTATCAGAGGACTAAGAATTCTGTGGCAAACAGACATAACAACAATTCATGCCGTCCCAAACAACGCGGATCGTTCATGACAAGCACCCGACCAACGAAGGAACAGCTGTATCGCTGGTTCGGAATCGAAGGAGAAAACCCGAATCAGTTTTTGCGCTGCATGATGCTACGAAATACATTCAATCATAATATAAGCGGCATCACAAATCCTTTTCTCAAGGTTCAGAGATCATGTGAACCGCAACGGACACGTGACTGCGATTCTATTGACTCTTCCTCTCCTCTAGTAGACAATAATGGGAAGAGAACATTGAAGAATATAGCGAAAGTGGTTGAGAAAAGCCAAAGAGGAGAGGGAAAAAGCGGTGACAAGAATTTCTTGAAAGCAAGGAGAAATACTGTGCGCGCCAACTTGGCACTTGAGAGCAGCTCTGATGTGGAAAATTCATGGTGGCCGTCATTGCAGATCTCCCAGAACGATGATCCAGACCGAGGTCCGCTCAAGGAAGAAAAAAAAAGTTTCAGAAAGCAAGACTGGAGAATACTTACGTATCGAAAAAGAGTAGGAAGAGGAAAGGACTGTTACGAAAAAGTTAGGGATGCAGCTCTGGATTGGGAGTTTCAGTCAGCCGATGGATCCATGGGTATGATGCAAGTTCCCGAGGCATGTCCAAGTGGTGACAAATTTGCAATGCAGACAAGCCACGCTGTTTCTACCAAAAGTAAAGGATCATATTCTGTACGACCTGTCGAAGACGACAGCTCAGGGCAAGTCGACAATCGGCGCACGCATTCTTCTTCGTCATATCGCAGTCTTGGATCGCGCCGTTTGGTAAGCTTTGCGTCAAAATCCCTTACTGAAATCTTGCCGTCACCGTTCCAACGACGCTTGTATTCGATCAACCCTGTCATGGTCGTATACGATGTAGTAGATCAGCGGGCTCCAGACGGACAAAGCACATTCACTTCGACAGCATATTCTACGCTGAAAGGTCATTTTATTAAAGGAGAGGAAAGAGTTACGGTTGCTCTTCGGGATGGATCACAAGATGTCGAGGTCGAAATTTTATCGATTAGCCGAGCCGGGTCCGGCATCGCTGGGAAAACGCTCTGGCCATTCATTGGGAAGATGCAATCAAAATTTTTCCAACAACAATTGCAACATCTTTCCGACTGCGGTAATGTTGTTGATACAGCAAAGTACTGAAATGTGCCTTTTATTCGTCAGAGTACTGAATGAAACCAATCATTACAGTTACGTCGATAACGATACGACGAAGCCTAGGAGAAGCATTTCTTAATTTGTGTCTGCAAATAATGTAGCGCYTGTAGCCAACATTATAATGTTCCTGGATAAGAATCTTGAATGCAATGTGCTTGAGTAAAGAGCAAGTCGAGCGTTTTTGTTATCGCGACGACAAAAATAGACGGCGATGATTTTAAAGGTTCTACAAATCTTTGCATTGACGAAGGATCACCTTGCTAGGACCGGAATAGGCGCACCTGCAAAACTTCGTGGGAAGGATGGACAGCCTCAATGACTGGAGCAGAACTTGATGCGACCAACAAGGGATCTTCGGGGTTGCTCCGGAAGTCATGATACGCGGAACAAATCGCATCCTCAGCGGCTTCCTGTACGCTATCCAGCATTGGTACGCTGGCGAGTGGTCCTACCAGCGAAAGGCGTACTGCGGAGGAAACAAGATCTCTGGCCATGCAGTATGCAAACAATCTGCACACCTGCACCTCGTCCAAGCCCAAAAGTCCACCTATTGCCCCAAGAGCCGGGGCTATGTGAGGGGCACTCCCACTCTTTAAGCAATCTAAGATGTATTTATTTGGAAGTGTAGGTTCATGGGATTCGTTTGCACCATTTAGCCAGTGAGCGGCAACTCGAATAAGTGACTTTCCTTGGTCAATTGAAGCAGAGCAAGCCGGCTCGTTTGTAACCATAATGGCATGGCACTGCCGATGCAGTTTTTCCCAAAGATCTTCCATTGTCTTCTTGTCGCTTCCATTTGATGTTTCACACTGAGTGATGCGGAGGCCCCTAACTAGGAATGGGGTAAGCAGCTGTATAGATGATCTAGTAGCAGCGTGAATAAAAGAGCATACGTCTTCCTCGTTGCGGATCATTCCCAGCTGAGTTGCAGCTTCCAATCCAGCAGAATGTGCGAAACTTCMAGTTGGAAGACCAGAATCGGCAAGCATTACGACAGACCAAAAGGAACGAGACGTCTGTGAAAAATCGTTGAAGGATTCGAGAGGCTTTCTGGATGAAGGGTAGCTTTTGGCCGCCTTAGTTTGATGTTTTTTTGTTGGAGTTTCGAAAATTTTCTGTTTTTCGTTCGTCACACCCTGCACTGGAATTTCAGATCTCTGAGCTAGAATACGGTCTTTGTAAAATCCAAAACCGAAACTGGGTGCAAGAGGAATCAGGCATTCATGAAATACTCGGTAGAGATCTTCATTCGTCTCGCCCGCAAGTCGAATCACGTGTGCATTACTCGGTTTTCCAGGCAATGATATCTTGCTTACACCCATAACAATGCGTCCAGAGAGCTTTAAATCGTCAATAGTTTTCACGCTTCGAAGCATTGTGTCGCCTTCGCCGTTGCCATCTCTTTCTCGAATTCTTGTATGCTGTGCGGCAAATAAATCCGCTAGAACTTGACATTTGTCCTTCACCGCCTCCATCTCGCTTCCGTAAATAATCAAAGATGCAAAACAGTTGAAATCTGCGACCCCGTGAGTATCGTGAACGCTTCTATTATTTTTGTCGCTGTTGGAGTTGAGGCGTAGGTCGATAGAAATGGAATCTTGGAGAAATGGAATTTGGTTGTTTGTTTCTTCCTTCGCCGAGTTCTTATTCTCAGCATCTTCCATCCATTTGAGAGTGGTGCGTGTTGTCAATTTATCGAAATCCCAGCGTTCTTGATTTTTGAAGCGCCCACTCGCGAACCAATCGATCAAGGCGACGGACGCTTCCGGGTGGATTTCGAATTCCTGGGTTTGCGAGTAGGAGCTCGAGGCGAACATGACACAAGGATCCGGTGTAAACACCAGAACTCCGTCTTTCTCTACCTTTGCATACATCCTTGCCTTGACCTCTCCTGGGACTCGTTGTGTATAAATGCGCGATGCTCCCTGCGAGATCAGGGCAAGTTTGGCAGAATTTTCCACGTGAACCGACAATTCTGCGCTGTCTCCTTGAAGCATACCTGCACCGTAGTTGGATAGAGCACAAACCGCAGCTCCTTGTTTCTGAACACTGGTTTTCTTGACAGGAATTAGCCTTGTCGGGGCTTTGTGCGCTACTTGGGTCAGACGAGTCCTGCTGGAGGGATTTTTTGCTGCTTGCTTCGGTATTCCATCAGCACTAGCGGTCAAACGACCGATGCCGTGCTTGACCGATCTGCGAAGAATATTGCTCATATTGTGTATAGTTAGCAATGATTGAAATTAATGGCGCGTTGCGAATAAGTAATGGACTGCATGTGATGGGTCTGGCTGAGGTGTGTTTCTCCGTGGTTCCCATCAGAAATTGTGAAGCATCGTTGGATTGCCAACAGTAAGATCGACAAAAAGAATGATGCAAAGGATCGATGATCGAGAATGATACCAGAAACTGTGGTACACCTTTGGAACAATTAGTTCCCCTACCGTACCTATCTCTAGGTAAAAGCTCTGTGTACTGCAGTACCAGGCAATCAGAACCAGAACGAAAAATCTTTTTCCCGACTCGGATCAGGTAACTCGTACGTACCGTACCTCCTCGTACGAGTACAGCGAAGTACGGTACGATACGGAGGTCAGGGGTCCTAAATATTATTAGGTCTTTTGCGGTGCGCAGCCAGGGGAAGTCGAAAGTTGGGTGTACTGTACCGTACTGTACGTTTGTCATTTGTTCAATCTTTCATAGTACTACTACTACTACTACTACTAACATATCAGGAAACTCATAATGTGCCACCAACATCTCATTTCCGTAACTTTATATGTTTACAGAAAAAAATCATGTTCAATCTAGTACATGCTTTACATTAAAAATTTATTGATACCATGTTTTTACATTTTTCTCCCCCTCAAACTCCCTAGCTCCAGAAGGACAATTTCAGTCGAACAACAACTATTTTTATACTTTTTATTCTATTCGACTTCCATGATTTATGACCCCTGACTGAGGTACCGGTACAGGATGGAACGGTGCAAGGGATTGATGAATGATCACACGATGTCCGTCATGATGGGTTGTACATACCGTACCGTATTCTTCGTATTACCTACTAGCTAGACCAAGGTTTCCTTCCACTTCCACTTCCTCTTCATCCTCTCCACTCATCATGGATTTCAATGTTTGTAATCTATCAAGAAGGCTAAACAGAAATCATATTGGTTCAAAGTACTATAGTCTCTTTTGGACGCTACTACTGTAAAAAGTTGTTGTTTTTTTCGTACGGTTTCTTCTTTTTCTTGGTGATACTACTAGTAGTAGGAGAACACCTACTACTACTACAAGTAGACGATATGCCAAGTCATCTAGTACTGACAGTTTCAGATGTAGCGATAGCACCAGATAAAGTACTTTGAGGTCGAAATGTCAGCCTTATTCGGCAATCATCAATCTCCAGAAATGAATACATCTGTTTCAGCTGTATAAACAATTATGGTGGAAAAGGGTCACGTTCTCATAGCCATTGAATCTCTCGTATCAATTATTATGACTTGGGCAGTGCACTTTTCTCAATTCGTCCAGATTATGATCGGGGAAAGAAGGTCAGCTGTTCAGATTGACGGCATAAAATTGAAATTCGTATGAATCTGTCTCGGGGTGCTCTTCTTGTTTGACTGCTTCTATAATCAATCCAGGACATTGCGAATTATGTTAGGTCATCCAGATTGTGATCGGGCAAACGAGGGCAATCGTCCAGATTGAGAGCATGAATTTGAAACTTGCATAAAACTGTTTCGGGAAGCTCTTCTTGTGTGGCAGCTTCTATGATCAATCCGAAGGCTATTGATAGTGACTTTGCATGACCCTTGACGACACTTAAGATTCCTTTTGCAATACTGGACGCTGTAATGATGACATCTACTTCGTATATTCCCTTTTTGGTTCCCTTTGGCTTCCGAAAGAAATACTGGAGGGGAATGACTTTTCCGAGCAACGCGGGTGACTTCCCATTGCCCACTGCTGCCTTGACAATCCACGGTCCATCCATCACTATCGGAAGTAGTTTCAATCTCGCGTCTCGATATTGTTGGTCTCCGTCAACAAATCTCGACCAAACATCAGCCACTTCCTTGTTCGGAAATTCTGAAATAGGCGGGACAGAAAAGTAGGCAACAAAGTTACCGAATGGCAGCAAAAAATTAACTAAGAATGTGTCTTCGTCCTTCAATTTGCCACCCATAACACTTGGATGGCGGGCGATGTGACGTTGTGGATTATCTGAAAGCCATAGATCGACTCCACGGCATGTGAAAGGTGCTCGCCCCGAAGGAACCTTAATCCGGTCTTCTAAGTATGTTCTTCCGCGAACATGGAAGATTGCTGGGTCTGGAGGCTCTGACCAGCAAGAAAGTCCGTCATTTTCCGGAAATTTTGGAATAGGAGAAGACAGCTTGCCTACGTTCGCCATCTCGTCAATTTCTACTTCTTCGTCGAGGTAATCCAAGTCCTCTCCATCACAAACAGACTCGTCCGATGATTCTCCTGTGATAACATCTTCGTCTGCAGTAACAATAGAAGAAGCACAAATACTGATCGACCCGATATCTTCCCTATTAATTATTTTTCCGTCAACCACTTTTCTAGGCGGAGAAACGGGTTTTGAGTTTTGTGTGTGCCCTTGAGAAGAAGGATGAGATCGAGATTTGCGCTGCTTTGACGGTTGTCCCTTTCGCTGTCCTGCCCAATAGGCTAGACCATAAGTCAATAAAAGAACATCAACTCTCACCGTGACAGAGATCATGATTCTTTGATAGCTTTGAGACAAGGAGTACGCCAAAGCCAAAATTGCGCCAAGTAATCCTACAAGGAACAACGGCCGTTGAAGAATCCAAATTTGTGAATGAACATAAAGCCTGCTAGCCATGTCTAACGATGACAAATATTGTGGTGGTCGCGCCAACCATTCTCGAACATAGTCATCCACTTTATGTGCTAAAGGTATCGAACGTACTTGACGATACAATACGGGAACGATATTTTTGTTGCTCGTTGCGACTTGGCTCCACCATCGTACTCGTACGGTGTCTGGTTGGTCCATGTCAAGCCCAAAAAGATGTCTCATCGATCGTGAATTTACGGCGGTGGCTTCCATTGCAAGAGCTCTCAATATCCCATTCAATTTTTCCATCGACGACTCAATCGACTGGGCATTGCAACAAATCCCTTTTTTCCCGTCCTTAAATTGGAATCGCGATATCTCTCCTATCTGTCGTCGCAAATCACCTAAAAAGGCTGTGTGATTGGGCATTGAGGTCGCCATTTGTCTCAACATTCCATCTAATTGTTGAAAGGTCAATAAGATTCGTCTTTCCTCTACCTTATCTTTGCTGTTTTCGACCAGAAGGAGGGCCACCTCGTAACCTATTTCCCATCGAAAGAACGTTGCGACGGGAATAATTCTAAAGCCACAAACCTTGGTGACGAGTATTCTACCCGATCTTGACCTCGTGTGATTAGCTCTTTCTGGTGACAGGTGATGTACGTTCCCTCCCGAGTCATGCCCTCCATCTCTCTTGGTACTACCAAATTCTTTTGGGTTTGTTCCTGCGTGATCGTTATCGCCATCATTATTTTTCTCGTTGTGGTTATCGTTTAGAGAATCAAGCCGTTGGAGGGTTTTTTGACAAGTTCGCACCGACCATTGAAGGGCAATAACCCAGCTCTGTGCTTCCTCTAGTGTGCTCACTGCACAGAAATACTCTCTCGGTGGATTTACTTCCCCGCCACCAGGATATGCAGAACAAGAGTTCCCGGTTGCGTCGTGTTGCATATCTACAAAGGCATTCCGGTCGCCTTCGAAATCACAATTGATAGGGTTGTTGAGGTTGTTTCCGATGCGCTGCCCTCTAAACAGAAAGCCATAACTTCCTCGGGGCAATCCAACGTGTAAGTCTCGAAGGGTAGTGACATCGATGATTCGAGCGTGGTGAATGATCAGTGTATCTTTGATCACCATGTTTACGTGCTGCCAGTCTGCCGCTTCGGGCATTGTGACATCTGCAAGTGGTGGCAGTTCGTAGTAGCGAATAAATCCAGAGTCGCACTTTTTGCGCAAGAGAGAATGAGGCGGAGGAATCGAAACAGGAATCGAAAACAACAATTAGGGTATAATTCTATTTTTCTTGCCAACGTTTGGTGCTGAAGGGAATGTTATCCTTACCAATTCCAAGTAGCGAGGACGCCAAACACGTCTTATTTTGCCGCGAATATGAGCTCGACCAGAGTGACGAATGGCAGGATCACGACGCCCTTCATTTCGATAGCTGGGTTTCGTGGGTTCCGACAACAAAACCGGAGGTGACGACATTCTCGATGTTGTCTTTCTATCTGCCTATCGTGTTGTTCTGTTCAATTCGTTGATTGATTCGTTTCCTTTCGTTTCGTTTCGTTTCGTTTCGTTGGATCACGGAATCTGTGGTCAACTGGCTTCCCGACACGTTTGGGGAAATATTGCCATTGGCAACTTTGCCGATCCGCTTGATGGATATTTTGCAGTGACAGCACTTTCAGAGAAGAGGGATGATCGATGATTATTGATACTGCGTAGGTATGATGGTTGAACGCTTCTAGATTTTCTGTCATTTTCAATCAAAACAAGTTTAGAGATTCTTTCTGATCTTACTCGTTCTTGACGTACGTAGTACTGAACAGAACTTCGTACTCGTACTCGAGCCAACACTAACCGTCAAATCTGATTTTTGGGGTGACGCTCCCTTTCGATCACGACCGGAATGACATGTATCGTTCCACGCCGGCATGCCTTCTTCTTTCTTTGACATTTTTACTATTATTATCGACTCGATTGACTCGATTTGAAAAAAAAATCTCAAAAAAAGGTATCTAGGTATCCCAAAAACAGAAAATCTAAAATCTTTCACTGAAAAGTTTTTTCTTCGATTCTTCGACCCGACCCAGACATCATCGTCTACCTATCGACCGAGGCCGATCAAAGCTTTTTCAACTTTCCAAAACCTACATGTAAACGATCAAAGCCATGGTCCGAACCCGAAGCGATGACAATACTGTATCTTACAACAGCGATGGCGCCGGCGGTGCTGCGTGTAGGCCTCCTCGAGGAAAAACATATCTAACGATCGGTCAAGATTTCTTTTCCGTCGAGGAATATGTTTTGAGTCAGTACAATGCCAGTCTGCATCGCCCCGATGGCCATAATGTATACAGCGAAGTCGGAAACTCTAGAAGACAAGCCCCAATACTCCCCTTGCCATACTTCTATCCGGCGGCAACCATGGTGTATACTGACATTCATGAACTGAAGGGTTTAGATCAACCGGCTGATTACGGAAGCGGGATTGAATATGTGAAGGGTAAGTGCCAAAAATCAATTGCGGGTGAATAAAGGTTATATTAATGTGTAAAATATTGTTCGAATATTTTTCCATCTATGCTGGGCGCCATCAAACATTGACCGTTGGCTCGACATCCATGTCGGTTGGTATCTGTCTTCGAATAAAGCTGTTATCAATTCCAACAATCTTATGTTTCTCTACTTTATTCGATTTCTTCTGAATCATTTGATCCGCTGAAATGATAGGCCTGGCGGATGCATTTCCTGAATCTGGATTGCAAATCGGGCTGTGGCTCAATGGCTCTGCGGGATGTCGAGACATCGTTTCGGGTGTACTAGACGACCAAACCTATCGGCTGTTTGACTTTATTCGGTCTGAACTTCCGGAATCGTTGCCACGGGTGTTTTTGCGTGTAGGATACGAGTTTGACAATCCTTGGTTTGGCTATAGTGACGATCCTGCAGCATACCAAGAGGCGTTTCGGAAAATAGTCCATGCCTGTGAGAGACAAATGACGACGAAACAGTGTCACGAAAAAGTTGATTTCGTATGGCATTCCTGGGCAGCTCCACGGGAAGATACTTTGTCCCTCGATCAGTTTTACCCCGGAGACTATTTTGTCGACTGGGTAGGTGTTTCGATCTTTCAACAAGTGTACCCATGGGCAAACGACGAAAAACAGAACGAGAAAGGAAATTTTGCTGGAGGAGATATGAAAGAGGTGAAAGAAGTCCTAGAATTTGCGACGTCGAAAGGTATACCAATAATGATTGCTGAATCTACTCCTTTTGGAGGAATGGATGTGGCAGAATCAGATGTTGCAAGGCAATATATCAAGGACGACGCAAATAAGGACGATGTTTGGAATATGTGGTTTCAAAAGACGATCGACCTGATTGAAGAGTTCGATATTTCAATGTGGTCGTACATCAATTGTGACTGGGGGTCGCAACCGATGTGGCATGGTGTGGGGTTTGGAGATACGCGTATCTCTAGTTCGAAAGTTGTTATGAAGCGATGGTGGGAACAGGTTTTGAGCAACGACTCTAGATTCTTGGTTCGCATTGAAGACTGCAATGAAAATTCACGTCCAAGAGGTCATATCAGAGAAGAAGATGAAATGGCTGTAGCGCGTAGCGCAACAACTGCGATTGATGGATTGTTCCATAGTGATGGAAGTGTGAATTATATGACGTCGAACCCAAGGTGCCTGCAACTACTTTGCATCGGTKGTGTTCTTTTGGTCACTGTTGCTTTCCTCTTTTTACTTCAGATAAGACTCTGGAAAACCATAAATCGAAGACACTGCAAAGAAAGAGCGTCAAGACCCAACTGTCATTGCACCCACTATGGTGCGGTAGTCTACGATGAATAGAACGCTTCGAAAATGACATCGTGTGCAATAAAATTTGTTACCTTGGCTGATCTTATTTGATAGACACTTGTCGAAAAAATAGGCCTTTTGCAGATTAAAATTACTATTCAATATGAAGACGTATTCATTCCAACTGCAATCGTCAAACGTAATCATTGTAACTATAGTTGTTAACAAATTATTTAATGCTCCTCGCCACCATCCACGTATCCGTATGCTAGTTTCGTCCGATATGGGAGAAGGTCCAACGCAAGAATACTTCTTCATTCGATTTCACATCAAAAGTATCGTACAAGAAGGAGTGCGACCAATTGTTTAATGCTCCTCACCGTCATCCACGTAACCGTCGGGTAATTCTGCCTCATTCAGGAGAAGGTCTTCCGAAACGAGTCCCCAGACAGGTACATCCTGATGACCGAGTTTTTGGAAGCTTTTGGTTCTGCTGGGCAATCCAGATTCTTCAGGGGGGTCGATAAACATTTTGAGTTCCACAACACAAGCGCATTCCACTACAATTCCCTCGCACTGTTTTACCAAAGAAATCGCCGATGAGAGAGTCCCGCCCGTCGCAACCAAGTCGTCGATGACCAAAACACGGTCTCCTTTCTTAATTTTTCCTTTTTGGACTGTGAGGCCAGAGCGGTTGCCATATTCTGTTTTGTATTCCTCGCTTTCGATGGTGTTCGGCATTTTACCTTTCTTTCTCATCATAATAAATGGTTTTTTCAAAGCCAATGCAATTGGAGGTCCGAGAATGAAACCTCGTGCATCAAGGCCGGCGACGGAGTCAATACCAATCGCTTGGTAACGCTCTACAAAAATATCTACGATCTTCTGAAAGACTTCTGGCTCGTACAGGAAACCGCCGATGTCGTAGAACCGATCGATTCCCTTGAATGGAAAATACGGTAGGTATTTGGCGATTTCTTTTGCTTCTTCTCCATCTTGTTTGTATTTGAGATCAAGAGACGACATGGTTTCGTGCAACTTAGATTCGGTACGATTATTTCGGCAAAGTTCGGAGTTGTTGGAGGAAAATGACTGCACTACTGCGATGACTAGACTGAATATAAAGATGGTGTTCAGCAACATCACACGTTCTGTATCGTACTTCAAAATCCAACGAAATTTGTTCATGAAAAATGACCAGAAATCAGATTGATGAAGCATTTTTTCTTCTTTCTTCACTCTACCGCACCGTCTATCCAGGATACACTTCTACCTGTCGTACCGGTACGTACGGTCGTTTAGCGAGGTCGGGTACGAGTACTACAAGTACGAGTACCCATAAAAGAACAATTGAAATTACGTTGAGGCATTGGGAACGTACATTCTGAATGTTAGCAGCGTAGGCTGTGTAGAAATGAGTATTGTGGTTTTTGCTTCAATTTAACGTCCTGAATGCTCTGCTTAACAGTCTGAATATTAGCAGGAAAGGACGTCCTTCTTCCTTGTTTTTTAAGTACTGGTATGTGCTGCAAGACCCAAATAATTGGTTTGGGTAGGTAGCGCGTAACCAATTGGAGAATGCCAATTATTGGAATACTAGAATCTATGTAGGCATTTGCCATAGGTTAAACATTCTGGTGTATGTTTAATTAACATTCGGAATATTGAYGACATAGTAGTAAATGAAACATTCTGTACATTAAATTAAAATTCAGAATGTTAAATTAAAGTTTCCAATGCCTCAATTAACATAATTTCAATTGTTATTTCGTGTGTAGTACGGAGAAAGTCTTACACAACTTGTTACAGGGGTGTTCAAATCAATGCATAGAAATCTCACCTTCAGTCCTTCGTCCGAGAGATGTTTCTTAGGGTATAATTTTTTTTGTCGCAACGATAATTTGTGCGTGTTTTTAACATGGGCATCAATAAAACACCCTGTTATTCCATTGCTATGACGCCCCCACTGTTGACCACTTTAATGGACAGTACCAATTTTATTTTTCTTTGTGATGTCAATAAAATTGATTCATTTGTGCAAGTCGCGCACACACCAAGAAATATAACTCTATTCATGAATGAATATTTTCCAAGACCCATAACAAAATCATATTTTATCGCATTCACATCTCAACCCCAAAAAAAGAATAGAATCTATTTTCAAACATAAATTCTCACTAATAGAATATTACTCTCCGATGATCTTTTTCTAGTATTCTGGTCTACTGTTTTAAAAAAATAGATTCTCAAAATGTGTAATATATACTACTATTGACTTTCAATTTTATTCTAGATCCTATTCTATTTCTGTTTCTTCCTCCTCTGATGACCCTGCTGGTATATCACCCAAACCATCCTCAAGCAGAGAAGCTCTCAGTGCTGGATCAATATAGCTACTCTTTTTTTCCTTTTTGGTCTATTACTACTACTAGTACTACTACCAGTAGTATTGCTGGTACTGCTTCTCTTCTTGTAATTACCACTCTCCTTCATGAATCTCTCTCTCTCATCTTTGTCTCTAACTCCTTCCCTGCTGTAGTACTAGGATCCTTGCGTAGCTTTGCTACTTTCCTTCCTCCATCCAGCCATCTCTATTGCACTCTTGGCATCACAATACCTTTTCTTCCTACTATGGAGGATCTCAGGATTGATCTTCCTCTGCTTCTGGTTCTCCCAAACACAGTGTTCATTGAAGATTAGTATTAAATCAAATGCCTCATCAGTGACTGTGAAGATCTCATTGAGCAAATCTTGTCTTTCCTTTGCGTGAAGTTACTTTTTGCTGGATTGATGGCAGACAAGATTCTGGTCACAAAATAATAGAATTCTTCATTCTCAGCATCCTTGTATTTCCTGTAGTCAGGATTCATGCTCCCCCAGCCACCACTGTAGTCTGGGTCTTCAACCACTCCAACAGTACCTGGGAAGGAACCTGGTACTGTGTTCTTATCATAACCAGCTGTGTTCAGGAGGTAACAAATCATAGAAAGTAACAACATACTTGTGTTAGTGGGGGAAATAATAGTACACAAAGGAAACCAAAAAGCAACTTACCAGGCCATTTTTCTGAGCCAAGGTTTGTGAATTATGTCTCAGTGTGCCAAGTAGTACAGTGACCACCTTCTATTAAAAAAATCACAGAAAGCTGCTGGAGTGATATCTTTTGGAACGTTGACCCTCTCCATATCCACTGCCTTCTTCATGATGTGAGCAGTAACTCCGTTATTGACAGGTTGGATCATTGATCCTCTCCATATCCACTGCCTTCTTCATGATGTGAGCGGTGACTCTATTATTGACTGGAAACTTCATCTTGTCATACCAGAATTTTTTTACGAAAGTTTTCAGGTCGTACCACTGGTTTTCATTCTGACCAAAATTGTCATTTTACATTGATTTTGGCGTTAATTTAGAGTTAGGSATACTACTATCATTTGGTAAGAATCCAGCAATCTGATTGGCTGATAATATGGATTGAGATTTTTGTCACATGTCAAAAGAGCAATTTTGTTTTGACTAGTTTGGTATAATCTTAGTATTTTATTCCCGCGATTGTTTTGACTTGCATGACTAGTAGTTTGAAAAGACTGTAAGATTTTTGATAATTCTGATCTATGTTATTAGCCAATCATAATGCTTGATTTGTACTGAATTATAGTATTATCCCTAACTCTAAATTTACACCAAGATTGCTCTAAAATGACATGATGAAAACCAGAGGTACCCCACCATGGCTTGCTAATGCAAATAGTAGTGGTAGTTTTTACCATGTAAAAACTACAAAGTTAGTAGTAGTGTAAGCAAGGTGGAAAGTACTACTCTGAAAAGATTTTGAAGCTTATCAAAAAGCACTGTGGCTGTTTGTTGGCTGTTTCTGAAATACGAATGGAATTAATTGATTTTTTGTTTATGTTGGGTATTGTTGTTGTTGTTGGTGGTGGAGAAGAGGTTGTTTCTTTCTTGTTCTTGTTTTTAGTACTATAAACAAAACAGCACTGCTGGAAGTTTGTCTACTATTACTACACTACTACCTACTACTACTAGTAGTAGCTATCTCTTGCAACAAGAAGCACAAGATAAATCCACCAATCTACCAATTGCTTCTTGTGTAAGATCAAGAAGTTGAACCCGAAACATTTTTCAAAGATCTTCCCTTTAATTTGTGAACAGTTCTTGCATTGGTGATATGAATTGGAAATTGAGTTAAATGTACTAGTAGTAGTATTCATTCGTGGTTTTTTCTTTGAGTTTGATGGGGAATTTTTCATTCATATTCTATGGAGATCAAAATCTAGCTGTTGCTGCAGTGTTTAGAGAAGTTAAAGTGATCAGTTTTATTTAGTCCTCTCCTTCTTCAAGGATCACCTCTATCCATTCAACTTTCTCAGCATACATATCAAGCAAAGTATCGATCAATGTTGGTAATTTCAGAATCCTGATACCCATTTTTCAATTTGATAGACTTGAATGCTCACATGGCTCCATAGATTTCTTTTGATTTTTCAACATGTATGTTGTTATCATCAATCATGACAGGTCTGCCAACATATAATTTAAGCACAGGATCTACTACTATCCTTTTTGAAAATTTGGTTCCACCTACAATAATGTCAGTATCTGATATTGCAATCAGTAAGCAGTTTTTCTGAAAATCTGACATGGCTCTGTATTTTCTTATTATTTTGTCAATCTGCAGTGAAGTAATGTTTGTACTAACGTTAATTGGACAAGCGAAGTCCTCAAGGTTGTAGGTTAAGAGTCTTTCAGTATTTTTACTATTTTCTGCCTTGATAAAGAATGTCCTTGCCACAATGTTTTGCAATGATATCCTACCAACTTGTGCTACAGTTCTCAAACAACAGTGACGCTGTTTGTGTTCCTACCAGCAGAATAATAGTATCCATATCCTCTAATGTTCTGATGCCAGTTGACTTTCCTGGGATATGGAGTACAAGCTGATAACAACTACTGGATTTATTCCTATCTATTTTCACTGCTGGAAACTTGGCCAGCTGTGTCACAGAATGGTTTGACACCTGCTGTTGTGTTACTCCAGAAATACTACTCAAAGAGTATTCCCATCTGGCAAAACACTTCTATCAGACCAACATCAGTTTGCACCATCATTTATGGGCCACATTTCCAATCATTGGATCTCAGATCCAGATCTCAATTCAGGTTTCTGTTCCCTTTTGCTTTGGGATCCTCCTTGTTTGAAACCTTTTTGTGTTCATCTTATCTGTTAGAGCAAAGTAATAAAGCTTTTTACGGTCACACTGTTCTCCAAAAGCAGGCCTTACACCTCCAAGCATCCTTAATAGAGTCAGATACTTGTGTCTCCCCACAGCAAATTGTCCTAAAATCATTGACCATCATTTCCTTTAGGAGTACTAGGCTCCTTTTCCTTCTTAATGAAAAATAAGCAATTGCGATTTGATTTTTCTTGGTAGCATGGTGATGACAGCCAGAAGAGCATTTCTTGTTGTTAATATCTCACAATGCTCATGCTCATGCTCATGCTCATGCTTGTGCTCGTGCTCGTGCTCATGCTCGTGCTCATGCTCCAACAAAAGAGTAAATTGTTCCACACACCCATGATCCTCTGAATTATGGTTCCAGTGGTACTGCCTACTAGCCACATTAGTACACACTTCACAGAGCTTCTACCAGTAGAACAATAAATCAAACCAGTTCTTTCTTTATCATCATTTTTATGATTTTTCAATTCCACCAGGAGAGAACTTCTTGTTCCTTGTCATCCTCAAACATTTTCAATAATGCAAATAATATGAGCACTGTGGTGGGCATATGCTGGCAAGAATCATATTTTTTTGGAAATTAGTACTTTGTACTGTACGACTAGTAGTAGTAGTAGATGTACTCCTACAAGGAAGGGACACCAAGGCAAATGAGGGTGGGACAGGGCCAGACTTGGTGCAAATTTTACTCAGCCCTATGTAGAGAATAATACAGCTCATTTACCTTTGCTCCAACTTCAACCTGTCAGAAAATTTCAAAACACCATTATCAAAATATTTGCTACTACTAGTGGTGCTACTAGTAGTACTAATTTGTACTCAGGAGGAACAACAAGAAGAACAAGAAGAAGCCAGTGCAAGTTGCTGATACTAACAAGGAGGAGGACAACTTGTCACATTACTGTGCACGAAATACGTGTACTGCACTCGTAAGTGTTTTAAGTGTGTATGAAATTGAATTGTACGATTAAGATTATCGTGAAGATTATTGTGCGCATTCATGAGAATTCCAGAGTTCTGATTAGATCCCTGTGTAGACCTGGTACTGAATCTACACAAGGTTCTTATCAGAACTCTGGAATTCTTGTGAATGCGCATGATAATCTCCACAATAATCTTAATCTTACAATTCAATTTCATACACACTTAAAACACTTACGAGTGCAGTACACTTACTATTTCGTGCAGTCCTCCTCCAAACCTCTTGGCTGATCTAGTAGTATCTGCTTCTTCTTTCAGATCCTTGGATCCCCTCCTTGCTTCTTGTTGATTTTAATATTATTACTACTATTACTAGTACTACTAGTAGTAGTAGTAGTAGTAGTAGTAGTAGTAGTAGAATGAAGTTATTCTTGTTGCTGCTTGTTCTCTTCTTGTTCTTCTTCCAGCAGCAGTATTTGTGCAGCAAGGAAGTGTTGCTTATAGCTTTTTCTGGTGGGTGAGACAAAACCTTCCTTGAGCTGGTAGTTGTTTTCTGGGTTGTACTCATACTACTAACCTATTTCAGATTTTTGATAAACCTACCTTGCTCCCTCTTACTGTAGTTGACACCAGTCCCTGTGAAATTTGATTCTCGTACCTACGGGTACGGACTGTACTTACAATTGCGTAGGTAGTCTACGACTAACGACCACTGTTTTTGTTCGTGAAAAGCGAAGGTGATAAAAATTGCTTTGGTCTTCAGATCAGTCATCACAACGGTGTAATTACAATAAATAAAACATGAAGAACGATGGTTGAAACAATTATTTTTATTGCCCTCAGAACTCTTTGAGAAGAAATGTAGTCATCGACCTGATACAGTACAGTAAAGTACAGTAATTCTTCCTGCGTTCCAGACCCGAATGGAATCAAAGGGTTCTCCATCTCGCAAGCTCGCCTTCTCGCATCCAACGTCCTGTCGTTGTTATCGTTATCGTAGCGGTACTAGTACTAGTACGCGTACTTCTTGTACGGTTAGGAACCACTACGACGCCACATTCAACGAAACACATCAAAACACTTCTTGTCACTGTGCGTTGGTCGGAAATGGTCTCTGGGCTATTTCCCAGAGCAGTGGTACTAACGAGGGCCAAGCTAAGAGACTGACGAAGGAAAACAATTTGAAGCAGCTCCTTCCAAGAAACTTGACGTACCATGAATGAATCAGCAGCCGCGAACGAATCTCCCCCCGGTGAAACGCCGGAGCCTTCCACACAAGACGACATCCTGCAGCTGTTGCCAGCGAAGGAAGAGGATGGTTCAAAAAATGAGAATGACGTGAATGGGTCGCAAGCCGCCCAAGACTCTCCCATCGGTAAATCACCAGAGCCTTCCGCACAAGACGACATCCTGCAGCTGTTGCCAGCAAAGGAAGAGGATGGTTCAAAAAATGAGAATGACGTGAATGGGTCGCAAGCCGCCCAAGACTCTCCCATTGGTAAATCACCAGACCCTTCCGCACAAGACGAYATCCTGCAGCTGTTGCCAGCGAAGGAAGAGGATGGTTCAAAAAATGAGAATGACGTGAATGGGCTGCAAGCCGCCCAAGACTTTCCCATGGGTAAATCACCAGACCCTTCCGCACAAGAGGATATCCTGCAGCTGTTGCCAGCGAAGGAAGAGGATGGTTCGAAAAATGAGAATGACGTGAATGGGTCGCAAGCCGCCCAAGACTCTCCCATCGGTAAATCACCGAAGCCTACCATACGTAAGGAAGCTTCCATGCAGTTGATACCGACAAACCTTGGCCCTGTTTCAGAAACTGAGAATCCCATGAATCAGTCGATATCCGTCAACGACTTGACACTCAGCGCATCGCCCAAGCGTTCTGTTAACAAGGAGGACTCTTCACAGTGGATGCCGACTTCACTAGAGCCTGTTTTGGAACTTGACAACTCAATGAATCAATCGCTAGCGCCTCTGTCGGAACGTAACACTTCTATGGATCAGTCGATAGGCATCAACGACTTTTCATTCAACGCATCATCCGTTCCTTCTTCGTTGGCGAGTGGATCATTTCGGTCTATAATGACAAAATTAAAGCCTGTTTCGGAGGATTTCATGGCAAAGCTGAATGAATCCATACGTATTGATGGATCCATCTCAGATTTCAGCTACTCTGTGAATGATTCTGCTCGAGGTGTGAGTTTCGATGAAGTGTATGACAAAGAAGAAATTCTTGGGGAGGGAGCTATGGCCCAAGTGTTTAGATGTGTCCATCGGGAGAGAAACTTTTCGTATGCGGTCAAGGAAGTTCTTGCCGAAAATTACGACAGTCCTGATCAAGACGTCAAGGAAGAAATCCATGCCTTGAAAAAATTGAGGGATGGCCCTTATATTTTAAAACTTTGGGATGTATTTACTGGACCCGACACTACGCATTTGATCATGGAATTGATGGAGGGGGGGGATCTGCTTGGTATCCTAATTGATAAAGGAAAGTTTAGCGAGAGTGAATCTCGTCGAATAAGTCGAAAATTGCTCGAGGCAATTTTCTTTTGTCACAAGAAATATATTGTACACAGAGATATCAAATTGGATAACATATTGATAAGTGATCGCGACAGCAACGATGACTCAAAAATCAAGCTTGCAGACTTTGGATGCTCCCGTACTTTTGTTGCAGGAGAGAAGGGGCTAAAGACGCTTTGCGGCTCACCACAATATGCAGCTCCGGAGCTCTATATGCATGAGGATGGATACGATGAAAAGTGTGATCTTTGGAGTGCAGGCATTTGTGTGTTTGTCCTCTTAGGAGGATATGCACCATTCGATGGTGAAGGAATGGAACTAAGAAGTGTAGTATGCGATGGATATCTACACTTCCCTTCGGAAGATTGGGAAGGAATATCTGAAAACGCAATGAATCTGATCAAAAGCCTTATAGTTGTCGATCCAGACGAAAGAGCAACGGTTGTAGAAGCCCTGGACAGCGAGTGGCTACGGCGAAGGGATAGGGAATCTGTTTTAAAATATAGAAACGTCAACATGGACGGCTCTGTCTCCGGCACGTTTGATGCTTGGATCAAATTACAACAGAAAAACGGCATAAGCCTTAGAAAACTACCATCTGACTCTTACCACTCCTCCCACTCGGAACTTACTGATGACATGAATAATTCATGCCGATCATTCAATGACGAGATTCATTAAGTCGCGTACGAAATATCATCAGTTTTTAATCAAAGCAACATGCTAAAACTCTAGGCAGGACTTGTAGTCTATACTCAAAGAAGTAAGTACTGTCTGCCAAAGATTGTTTCACTGAAGTTTGCATGCACTTCGGAATACAGAATACGATGGTATGAATCCTACTTCCATCCAGGCGGAAATGTCATTGTAGACACAAGAGAAAGTGATCCATTGCATAGACCAGCAAGAGGAAACAGAACAAAAGATCAGAACTCTTCCTATTGAGTCTGAAGAAACGCATGTTTGTAATTTCCTGTCCAATTTTCCTCTTCCGTCCTAAATAACCAGATATAACTAGCCCATTCTTGGTGGCCACAATTTTTCACAAAATCGATACCGACATACTAATATTTGTCTCTGGACTCACTGTTGTTACTTATTGACAAACATTGTGTATCAAGACAAGTGCAGATCTTTCTTGTTGAAACAAGAAGAACCAAGGAAGAAAGATTTTAATGGGCAAGATTACCTTTCTTGAAAAAAGGTGAGGCAAGGAGAAAATTCCCTGTGCAGCATTGTCATTGTTTCCAGTATTTGCTCTTTTAAAACAATACATCTACCACTAGAACTGAAAGAAAAAATATCAAATACAAAAAACTTCATGGCAGTATTACTACTATGTATTTCATAACAATTGAATACAGTCTTACTACTAGTGAGAAAAAGTTCTAATTTGAAGTTATAAACTTTGATTTGAAGTCAAGAAATTTCATTGTCCTCACAGAAATTCTATTCTGTTCTACTGAGCTAGTTTTTAGAAATGACACAATGGCATTCATGATTGAAAGGCCAGGTTTGTGATTGAATGACCTGGAACCATTTTGTCTTAAGGAGAATCAATCTGGCCATTTGGAACTTTTTAAAGAAGAAACAGCTCAGTAGAACCTGGTACATCATGATGTAGAAGCAAAAGTTCACAACTTATAATCAGAGTTTAGAACTTCAAATTAAAACTTTTTGCTCACTGCTGATGAGACTGTATTCAATTGTTATGAAATAAGTAGTAACGGGAGCATTATCATAGAGAGGCTTTTATATAAAAAAAGAAATAGAATGTTCTAAAATAAATTGATACTATATATCCTGATTAACAATTTTCTGTCTCAGATCTTCCTTGTGAAATCTTGTTGACAGACGAATTACAACTAGTAGAATCTCTTAACAATAATTGTTTCAGAACCAAATTGATGTAGAATTTGGATTCACCCAATGGAGAAGCATTGCTTGATTTTAAGAATAGACCATCTCTCTGTGTCACATGAAGAAATGAATATGACCAGTAGCAGTTGAGAAACAATACAACCTACTGCTAGACTCCATCTAGAAGGAGAAGACATCCACAATAAAAGGAGGTAGTAGTAGACTATAAGATAGCTACAATGGTGGTGTCTATTATTATTGCCTCTGGAATAGCAACCACAATATCATATTATCTGGGGACCCATTGAATAGGCACACAATGATGTCATCCAAGGCAAGGATCAATCACTACAGGAAATCTTATTTGAATAATACTTAACCTTGTGAACTAGAAGAGGTACTAAGGCAACCAAGGTCATTTCTTCTCCTGACTAGGATGAAGAATGCTCCTAGTTGCTCCAAAGGGTAGTACCTCCTGGAGGGAGGTGTTGTGGAGGATGAGAGCAACCAGAATAACAGATGCAAAGAGTAATCTAGGATCAGACAAAATTACCCAAAAAATCAAATAGATCTATCATTGATGGGAAGTACTAATTCATTGCTGCAAACAACAAGAGTATGGATAATTAGGGTGCTTGAAAAAGCACTTGTAAAGAAATAATTCAATGAACCAACATAGTTACAATGGCATTATTGAGAACATTAGCTACTTATCCACAGGAATAAACAGAAAAATCCAGCCAAAAAATTCAATGACTCCTCAAATTACAGATTGGAATTATCCTAATAGGCTCTGCCAAGCAAAAAAACACGATCCAATCATACATTAGCAATTGTATATATACAGCCCTGTATAACTTTATATGATCAATAACGCCCTATCCCCCCACATGACTATATTTGTATTTAAATTCCCTTTCAATTCATGTGCTTGTCATTGTTAAGTGTCCATTGGGGACAAAGATATAGCTGTTTGAGTGAATTGAACCTCTCTTAATGTTCTACATGTTTTACTACTGTGTATTGATTTCAGGCCATCTAGTAATTACCTTGTAATGACTCCTGGGATTAAAAATTTGACTTGTACTACTAGGGCTACAGCATGCATGTGCACCACCAGCCTTTTGAGTACTAGCTCTATGTGCCACTTGTTCCACCAGTATTTACCAACCAGAAGAAGATTCTGGTCTCAAAGTTGTTGTTTATGATATTTGTGTTGGAGCAACAACATCCCTCAACCATCAACATTTTAGCCTCAGCAGGATTTGGGTCCAACAATACCAAGAAGTCAGTGTGTTTGTTTTGTTTTTTCTTTTGGCTTTTTAAAAAAAATTATGACTAGCTACTCCACCACCTGTGTCCTTTACACTGCACAAGCTCTTGTCTTTATTGGCTTGGCAGTGTGCTTTGTACCAGTTTGTTTCCTTGTTCACTGCGGAGGGACATGCCTTTTTGTCTTGGCAATGCACTATAAAATGATTGTGGCATGACTCTCATCCATCCATACTGTGAGCCAACTCTTTTTATGTCCTCTAAGTCCAGCCCTGGCCCTACATTGGCTTGTCAGTATTCCTCAGAGGGAGGTGCCTCCCCAAAGAGCAGCTAGTAGTAGGAGCATTCTTCTCCCTAGTCAGGAGAGCTTATACTAGTTCACATGTAGTGCCTCTTCTACTAGCTCATGAGGTTAGATACATTCTTCACTTAGTAGTGCAATAGCATCAAAAAACAATAATTTTGGTCTTGTATCCTAAAGTAGAGGAAGAAGAAGGACCACCCCTGCCTGCTAACATTCCTTAGAATGTTAAGCAGAACATTCAGAATGTTAAATTTACTAAGCAAAAACCCAATAGTCCTTTCTACATATGCCTACATGTTAACATTTGGAATGTGACCTTAGCATTCCCAATGCCACATTTAACAAAGTTTCAATTCTTATTTTACACCTAGTAATAAAATAACTATTGAGATAACAAAAATTGAGGCAGTGGGAATGTTACATTCCAAATGTTAGAATGAACATTCCATATATTAACAATGTAGGCCTGTGTAGAATACTGTGGTTTTGGTTGAATTTATTCAACGTGTTAGTAGTAGGCAAGCCATCCTTCCTCCTCCTCTTTTTTGGAATCTCCCCTGAAAAAACAAGACCAAAGTTATTGGTTTTTGGCACTAACAAATGAAGAATGACCATAATACTAGGATCATCATGTAGCTGTAGTAGTGTGATATACTAACATTCCAAATGCTAAATAACATTTAGGCATTAGTAGTTCTAATATTTGGAAACTTAAAGTAATGTTCCCAATGCCTTGATTGACATAATTCCAATTATTATTTTATGTGCAGGTATTACAATGTGTGGCTAAACAATTGCAGTTTTGCGTGTCCACAGTGTACCATAGTATTTTCAAAGAAGTACTTGTTGCATTAATCATTGAAACACAGTCATCAGACTTATTAGAAGTACTCCAAATGTGTGATAAATATGAAGATGTAGTCTGATGGTGGACCAACAATCAAGAGACTTATCACCAGAAGCAGTACTACTACTACTACTAGTATCAGTAACTGATGTGTGAAAAACATGAGGAACGAAAAGAAGAAGCACTAGCCCTGACAATGGTTGACCAACCCCAGCACATCCATACTATGATAGCAACATGTAGTAACACAGATTTCTATGGTATAGGCTTGGCTACCAAATGTACAAACCAGTTTTACATTTGGGTCCTTATTTTTATGTTTAATGATTACTTTGACTAAAATGTACAAAATGCACGAGCTCGGTATTAGCGTTGAATTTTAATACCACCAGTTGTGCAACCAGATAGTTTCACACACATGCTCAACCAACAATTTTGGCTTTGAACACATGCAAATTGCTTAGTCAACGTAGTCAAAAGATAGCCCAAAATTGACGCACAGTATAAAAATTAGATAGGGCATTGACAGTCAACTCACTCAAACAGCTATAACTTTGTCCCCAACAGACACTTAACAATGATAAGCACATAAATTGAAAGGGAATTTAAATGATACAAATATAGTYATGTGTGGGAGTTGGGGGGTCCTAGTAGTGGAAGATATCAATATATGTGTATGAATATAGGATTAAAAATGTAGGATTAAATCGGCTGGAAAAACATAGCCACGCCTAGTATACAATAATAACAGGAATCACCCAATGATTCCCGATATTATAGACATGCCAAACTGGTACATTTTGCACTTTTATTACATATAATAATTGGAATAAAAATTCAACAGATAGACTGAGAGGAACGCTGGGTTGATGCCAGTCATTTGTTGGAATTTGGAATCTTAATTATTCTCCAAGGTAAAGAGTTAAAAAGACTTAAAAATGCGCCCCACTTCTTGGTAGAAGGAAAAACATGAAATTTTCAATCCTACCATCAATACTGCTGTTAGTGATAGAAACACACACATTTTCAATACCTTCATCATAATATTTTGTATCAAAAATATGTTTGTTCCTTGCACTAGCTAACAAGTCAACAAACCATTCCTAGCCACACAAAAAGACCAGCATTTGCCTCTGACAACAAAGAGGGCCACAATGGGAGTAGTGGAGGTCATTACAATGTACTACTGGTACCTCCAGTCAAACTCGGACAAGAAGCAAAGAAGTTACAAAAACAAACTATCTCCAGAAGAGCGTCAAAGGAGGGATAGTAGGAGAACACCACAACTTGCAATCAGGAGATACACAGATTCCCCCTTCGTACATCTCTTCCACTCAGGGAATGACCAAGCACTCCTCAATTGCTGTGGTGTAGACCACAAGGTCTTCAGGGAGCTTGTTGATGTGTTTGCTCCAGTTTACAACAATTCTACAGTCAATACCAACAGTGAAATTGTGGAAGTTCCTTGTTATCCCAGTGGGAAGCCCGAGGGGACATAGAAGAAGGAGGTTGAAGCAGTCTGTGCTATAGGGCTTGCCCTTTACTGGTACAGGACAAGAGGATCTGTTGCAAGAGCAATGACAATGGAATTTGGCTTGACATCAACAGTGATGTAGAAGCGACTCAAGTTTTCATGGAGAGTGATGCTTGTTGCCCTTCACAAACACCCAGACACCATGGTCTGTGTTCAAACCAATGAAGAAGTGGATGTTTATGTTAAGGATATTTGAGACAAGTATCCAAGGCTTGGAGAACAATGCATTTGGGGTGCTGCTGATGGGCTCCTGAAGAGTGTCATCAAATAGTCACAGGACTGGTACAAACAAAGAGCATTCTACAACACTTGGAAGGAAAACACATTGTTAAGAGTGTATTTGCCTTTGCCCCAGATGGTAGAATAAGGATTGTAGTGTACAACTGCCCAGGGGCATGGCATGACAGTTCCATTGCCGACCACAGGGTCTATCAAAGGATTGAGGAAATCCACAACACATGTGATGGGGCAAAGGTTGCTGTTGACTCAGCTTTGCATTGAAGCATTACCAGGATAGTAGCCTAATCAAGAGTTCACAGAGGGATCCTGACAATGATAATCTCCTATTGGTGAACAGGGATGCCACATCCTTAAGACAGATATCAGAATGGGGGATGAGGATGACCCAGGGACAGTTCCCAAGGATTAAAGAACCAATGTTCTTGGAAGAGCTAGGAGATTGGAGGATCATCATGAACCTCCTCACCAACTTGCACAACTTCCAGTGCAGCACCATAGGACACAACCAAATCCTATCCACCTTGATGAAGAAGCCCGCCGCCACCACCACCACCAATGAGGTTCCCTATGGATCTGGTTGGAGGAGGGTACTTCCAAGTATGTATAGTATTATCACTCAATGGCAATAGTGTGTTTTCATGATGAATCCCATGGTCAACTGGATGACCAGGGGGCGCTGTGGTTAGTTGAATATAACAGATATTAATCAAAAATCAAATGAAGGCAGTTATGTCACAAATTGTTAGGGCAATATGGCAATTTACGATACAGCAATTGACAATACATCAATCAATTGACACAGCAATCAATCAACATTGGGCCATGGTCCCTTGCTCTTTTTCCATTACCTCCTACAATTAGCAGCAAATAGTTAGTTCAAATAGTTAGTTCAATCAACACGCCAGCACTAAAATAATGAATAGCTACAGCTGTGTGCACTTTTTCTGTATTCACAGCTTTTGGTGCTGCTTTTGCTGTATTTGCTGCTTTTGGTGCTACTTTTTCATACCAATTAGTAGAAAGGTATATATGAAAACCACAAATTGATAGGATCTGGTGGAACAAGTACTGGCATCTAAAACATCTCAAACAACAAAGAACTGTTGTTGCTGACTGCTCAAGCAAGCTACTAGTGAGCTCATTTAATTCAATTAGTGTAGTATCAATTGACTAAACAGTTTAGTTTAATTTTATTTATTTGTTAAATAATGCCTGTTTCCTTCTCATCACCACCATGGGATTCCTGTTTCTGGCATTGTGGTTTGCACAGAGGAGACTGAGGCAGGGAAGTGTACAGATGGTTTATTGGATGATGGTGTGGAGGAGGGCCATGTAGAGGAGGACCATGGTAAGCGTTATGTTGTTGCCACTGATTGAACATGGTACTAACAGCAGCTCCTAGAAAGTCCCTTTCAACTTCCTTTGCAGCCCCAATGGTCTCCTTCCAAATATCACAACTCTCTTTGTCACTTTCTTGCTGGCTCCTAATGTAGTCATTGAATGCAGCAGCATCCAGGACATTTGATTTCTTCTGCTGGTAGGCTCTCTTTCTGGGGATAGGAGTTGTCAAACGTACACCCAGTGAAGGTRTCAAGACTGAAGGTGATGCTTCAGCTTCAGCTTCAGCAGATGATGCTTCCCCAGCAAGAAGAACCACTGGTGCTGGTTCTTCAGCTACTTCAGCAAGAATACCAGCCAGGACACCAGTCGGTGTGTCTCCAGTTTTGGTGGGGGCTGAACCCTCCACAGCCTCACCACTCTTGATGAAGCCTTCCTTCAGATCAAAGTCCTCCTCCCCAGTACCAAGAAAATTTGCCTTCTGACCAATCAAGATACTATGGGCCTGGCATGCCATCTTAACATTTTGCTTGTTTGGGTTTCCTGTGGAACTCTTGATCCTCTTAACAGCTGCATACTACTTAGTCTTGATGGATGTCTGGCTTCTAAAGAAGGGCCAGATCATTCACTATGAGATCCCAGTCATCCTGACTAATGGGAAGCCTGGTGTCCAGTATCATGCCCATGAGACTGTGTAGCTCATCATGAGAGTAGTTTGCTACTCCAGCCTTCCAGCCAGTGGTGTTGGGGCCTCCTGCCATTTTGTTGTTTAATACAAAAATAGTAGTGTGGGGGATGGGACAACGGGCCTCCTCTCCTTTGTTTGTTGAGGTCAATTGGGCAACAATGAGCTCCCTCTTTGAAACTGCTGATCTCCTCCTTGTATTGTTGATCTCTTTGCTGCAATAAAGAAAGGAAATTGAATGTACTGACTAAGAGCACCGACCAGGACATTATTTATGTGTCTCGATATTTAATAGAGGCCCCATGGTGCCACTGCTCATCTCTTGTTAGAAAAAAAGAGTCTTAATTTTTTGTTGGTTCAGTCTTAATTTTGAAGGGCCTTTATGAGTTCCATCATAAAATTTATTTCATTTGATAACACCAGTTTGACCTCAATCAAACGCAATAAATTTTGTTATAGATTTGCTAAATTTTTGGTCTGTCAGTCTATCAAAAAGTAGCACATAAATGATGTCGGGAATCACCCAATATTAAATGTTTTCGGGAATGACCCAATTAAATTAATTTCACTGGTTAGGAATTTCAGATTCTCGTGGCGTCCCTACCGTACAATATAGAGCTACTAAGTACAATTCCCATGCTGGCAAGTTATTGGCAATTTCCCGACTGTCAATTTTTTTTATTTTCCCGTCTTTTCTTTCCCCTCTCCCCCCCCTCCAAACAAAAAAACTACAAAGTCCCAAAATATTTCTATTATTGGTCCTTACTACTGGGGATATAAAATCAGTGCTTGCTACTTGAGAATTAATATTAGTGCTTACTACTGGATCACCTCCATTACTACTTACTAGTTGGGATGCCATAGTAGTGAACACTGCGAACTGCTGGGTAAGGGGGTTCTGTTAGTGCTGCTGTAGTAAGCACTAATATTAATTCTCAAGTAGCAAGCACTGATTTTATATCCCCAGTAGTAAGGACCAATAATAGAAATATTTTGGGACCAGCGAGAAATTAAACAATGGAAATATTTTTATTTTTGTCYGTTGGATGCCATTTTTAACTGGATTTAACTGTAAAAATGAGCTAAAAATTTCTATTAGTATTTGTACGGGGATTGCCAATAACTTGCCAGCATGGGAATTGTACTTAGTAACTCTAGTACAATACTTGAATGAAAAAGGACGGTGCTGAAGTCTCTAGTTAAATTTTGAAATTTGCCGCCTGCCGATCTTTTAAAGGGATTTCAGCACTTTATATTTATTTTAAAAATTTAAATTCGTTTTCAAGCAATGACAAAAATCGCGTACAGTAATAAAAATCCAAGCGAACCAGAGTAGTACATACTACTTCTGGCAATTACAATTGGCAACATGTCAAACAAAGACTGCGAGTACGGGTAGAATCAATCCGGAAAAAAATGCCTATTGTAAGCGTCTCTGCGCTGTATTAAGAATTACAGAAGTTAGCTTAGAGAACGTGAGACATACTTTTACTGCTTAGGAACTCACTACGCCTAAAGGTGTCAGAAACTACGGAATTGATTTTTGATCTGAAATTACCTCTGTTTACAGTTCACACGCACTAGTCAGTTGCAGGGTACCTTACCCCAGAACAGTACGTATCGGTACCGTAAAAACTGTCATCGTGTCATCAAAACACTACGATTACGGGAATCCTGTGGTACTTCGTACGTACCGTACTATGTTCGAGACTTGTACGAGTACAAGTACGAGTACCCCTAAACATTAGTAAATCACAACTTCATTTTGCCGATCAAAACAGTATCTTTTCATACGAACGAGACCCTGTCATGCCAGCAAAAGAAAAGAAGAGCTCAAGCTCAAGATAAACCAAGATACTCCTACCTATGGGTCGAATTCTATTAGTCAAGAAAAAAGGGTCGGTAGGTCGGGGAAGACTCGCATGCCTTGGAGTTTTTCTCGCCATTACAATTCATTTCATCGTTCATTATGAAGGAAACTATGGGATAGATGTTGCCAACAGAGAGTGGGGGTCGGTGTTGGTTCTATCCGCCGTCGAGGCCGTCTCTCCGGATGAATTAACTGGATTGAGTCGTCGTCGATGGCAGAGATCTCGCGACGGCGAGGAAGAAAATTACGAAAGAAAAATCGTAGATACGTGGACATTCAACTCGAAGCGAAGGCTATCAATTAGAATGATACAATCGGCAAGAAAATCTTTCGGGAACAAAGTTATCGAGAGGAACGCTCCTTTTTCGAAGATACTCAACACTTCTCCCAGAAACTGGTTTCGGAAGRAAAAAAAAMAAGCCACTCTGCTAGAGACCACTCGTTTGGTAGGAGGTGCCAATGAAAACATCGAACGGAAAGAAGATCCTCAGGAGAGCAAATCATCATCGAATCAAACTGGATCCCCCAGTATTACTTCGAGTAATACCAGAAGATGGAAAACGTTTGTGATAAGCGACATCCTACCAAAAACGCAGCAACTACTTTTTCCGAAGGAATCAGAGATAGCTATGCGAAGAAAATTTCAACAAACGTTAATGCTTTTACATAAAGCAATATCACAAGCCGGCCCATGCGTTTTAGCAGCTATCTCTTTGGTTGGTAGCAGAGGAAATCAAAACGGAATATCCCTTCCGACATTGTATATACTTGCACTGCTTGGGGCATCGTGTGGTTTTCATCTTTTCCTACACTTTATCACGTTGGGCTACGCATTGGGTGTTACATTACCTTTGACAGTAGCTCTCTTCTTTTACAAGGTACGGTTGTTGTATGAATGAAGGAGACAGCAGGAGAGGGTGATCAAGAATCATATTAAAAAATTACTCACCGATGCATATTGTTTCGTTTTTACTGCAGAAGCAATACGAATTGCCTCTCCCTACCATACTTCATTCGTCGATAACCATTATCTGGGGAATCCGCTTATTTTCTTTTCTCGCCATTCGTGAATACGTTACTTGGCCTGCATTACACCAAAAGGTAGTAGAAGTTCAAGCAAAAATGAACATTCCATTTGCATCCAAAATCCTATGTTGGTTTGTCTATTCATTTTTTTATGTAACGTTGGCAGCTTCCTGTTGGAGTCGCCTTTTGCAAAGCAGCTCGTCATCACCATCTAATTGGGGCGTTTTTGGGTTGATAGGGCTGTCACTGCAGATTGTTGGTCTAATCCTGGAGACCATCGCTGATCTACAAAAGAATTCATTCAAATCGAGAAATCGGCATTCTTGGTGTAACGTAGGAGTATGGAAATATAGCACTCACCCCAACTATCTTGGTGAGGGCATATTTTGGTGGGGTACATATTTAGCTCACGGGTTTCATTCACCTTTGCCATCTGCATTGGCCACTATAGGTCTCTTGCTCATCCTTTATGTGCTAAAAGGCTCAGCTAAATCATTGAGCTCAAAGCAGAAAGAAAAGTATGGACAGGAAATAGATTTCTACCAGTTTCAACGTACGCACAATGTGTTTGGTCCCAAGCACATGTGGTCGCGTCAGCAAGTAGTTGAACCTGTCGTTACTGTGCCAACAGGAGAGGCACTCACTACCGGTGATATTGAAATCTCCATTCCCAATGATGAAAAGATTCAAGACATCTGTCACTGAAATTTTTAAAAACAAATGCAAATTTTGAGTTTTGACTCCAGCTATTTTGTTTTTTTGAAACGATGGTATCTTCCATTTCTTATTCTATGATACCGTTGTTACTGCTGCAATATTTGCTATGGCAGAACCTTCTGTCTATATGTGTAGTACAATTTCTTTTTACAGTACTACTAGTACCAGGAGGTATTGTGTTTAGACTTTTGACTTTTTGGAACAGTACTAGTTCCAGGGATGTTTCAAAACAACACATTAGTACCAGCTACTCTAAGCTACTGGACCCACAACCAGCAGTAGTAGTCCTCTGACTAGGTATGGGATTAAAAAAAATTATCTCTCACAGCTTGTGCCATTTAACCTTTTGAACCAGAGGAGGCACTAGTACTACCACCAGGGAGGCCAGAACCATCACTCATCCTAGTATGGAAAAGTATGGAGGAGACAGACACTCCCACTAGGTGACAACAATTAACTAGTAAATATGTAGTGGTCCTTGTACTAGTACCAGTATGATCTTTGTAGAAATATTCAACTGTAGTAGTAGCAGTGGTACTAGTAGTTCTAGTACTAGTAATATGCCACACACAAGATTCATCAAACTTGGTTATTTCTCAAGCCTAGTATTAATTATGAATGTCAGATTTGTCACAGAGACGCCATTGAGGAAGGATACTCTATTGAGAAAGTTTTCTAAGAACAAATGATACTCGATGTCTATTTCAAGTTCCTCAGAGCTAGTTTCCAGAGTTTTTTTTCTGAGAAAGGGTTTTCTGGTGATTGTTTTTGTACATGCTAAGAATCTATGGGAGGGAAGTTGCTGTGAGATTTTTTTGCTATCAGGATCATTTGTCCAAGGGAGGAAGTTACATACTAAAAAGGTAGTCTATCATGCCTTTGGATCTACATAAACCAAAATACAAAAATGTAAATTATGTGCCTGGTGATGCCATTTTTGCCATGCAAAATTTTATTCCCTGTGCTAGCTSGTACTAATTAGTAGGAATGGATTCCAATGTCTGTTCAACCAGTGGCTCTATTTTTATCAGTGAAGGTTGCATTGGCAACATTCTGGCATACTTCTGCTGTGTAAAACTAGTACTACTACTACTAATAGTACTACTAGTAACACTACTATATTTTATCTCAATGGAAGTTAATGGTGGCCTCCACCTTCCAATGTTTGACCAATCAAAGAAATAAATTCATACTTCTACTAGTACTTGTTGTTCTTCCATCCCAGAAAAATGTGTCTAGTTTGCACCTTTGTCATGGTGGAAATGAGTTCAATGTTTGGGAATTTCTTCAATGCTCCTTTTCAAGTTATAGTCACCAAATCAAATAATAGGAATAAAGCAGCAGTACTATGGCAATGATGTCACACATATCATGTACTACTAGTGCTGGTAGTAGGAGTGTATCACTATGGTATTTTAGGAGCAGCTTGACTTGTTGAAAAAGCCATTCAAACTTTGCTGTACTAGTACTATTAGTAGTAGTGTTTCTACTACTACTACTAGTACTAGTACTAGTACTACTACTAGTACTAGTACTACTACTAGTACTACTACTAGTACTACTAGTACTAGTACTACTACTACTAGTACTACTACTAGTACTACTACTAGTACTACTACTACTACTAGTACTACTAGTACTACTACTAGTACTACTACTAGTACTACTACTAGTACTAGTACTACTAGTACTAGTACTAGTACTACTAGTACTACTAGTACTAGTACTAGTACTACTAGTACTAGTACTAGTACTAGTACTACTACTACTACTACTACTACTACTACTACTACTACTAGTACCGCTACTGCTACTGCTGCTGCTAGTACTACTACTAGTACTACTACTACTTTTCTTGTTAGTAGTACTAGTAGTACTAGTAGTATTAGTAGTAGTAGCTAGTATATGGGAATTTCTTATAATTTGTTGATGAAAATTATTAGTTCTGGACCATGATGTTCCCCATTTCTAGCTAGTTCAATATCATGTGATTTTTTCTATGCAGTCAGTGTTCAAAAGCCAAAAAAATGGAGTGAAGGAGTAGTGGTTGCATACTGTGTATTTGTTTGGGCAGTGAAAATGGTCAAAATACAAAATAGTACCGGTACTTCTACTTCGGAATTTCAAGTTTTATCATGCGGTACGCACTTTTTCAAGATGAATCCTGTTTACGGGAATCAGTGATTTTGAGACAACGATTTGAACACAGAATCGTTTTTTATCATCGACGGAATGGAGAGCCGTTTTCGTGCATCACACGAAAGAAGTGTGGAGTGGTTCTGTGTGGTCGCATTTTTTCTCCCTTCCACGTGTAACATAGAATTGATTTTTGTTGTTTGGTGACGTTTATGTTTCGTGACGTCGATTCTACATCGAAAGTTTTGCCTCCTCGTTCCTCGTTACAAGTGGTTGTCACATAATTTTTGTGACGTCAGAGTTCTGTTGGACGCGCGGCAGTGCAGACGTGCCCCCTATTTTCTTTCAACCCTTAAATTTCCAACGMAAACCTGGTTCACAGAAAGGGGGTTCTTTAGGGGTCAAAGTTTTCCTCCTCGACATGCGCGCGCCATGACGCCAACCATCATTGGTGATGTTGGGATTTTGGGTTCTTATAATCTAAAGGGACTTTTAAAATCTTTTTGACAACCTAAAATTGAAGCTTCACCGAATTCAAAATCTCGCACGTACACCTCACTCTTACGTCCGGTCGTGTCGTAATTTGTAGCTTTTCTCGCGCCTTACGTACCTGTGTGACCTTGACGGACGGGCTTTGTCGTAATTCCTTCTCAAGAACTGCTCAGCTCGTGATCAGCTTTTTAATCATAAAAGTACTTGGACATCGTGGAAGTACAAATCTACACTCACCATGATGTTCCGACGAGGATATGCCTCTGCCGTTCTGGCGGCAGTCGCAGCTAGCCTCGCCTATTCATCTGCCTTCAACACTCAGGGTAAGTTCGCAAGGCATTCCCGAAGTTGAAAGGGACAAATGACGGAACGCTTGTTTCTTCTTGAGTTCGAACGCAAAATTACTCGTCATTGGTCTTTATTTATAAGTTGCAGTCGTTTCTGAATCGACGAAACATAGAGGGATAGATCGGAAGCAGAGAAAAATGCTGACAACGGGCCAGGTATCTCGGGATGGCAGCATTTTCCCTGTTGGTGGGAACTTGATCTCGTTCTGCAAAATGCATTCCGTACGATTCATAATCTGTGCGGTTCAATACGAAGTGTGGTGCCTCACTCTTCTGTAATGTTTTTTGTTCACCTTCTTGTTTTCCAACCTACAGCCCCTGCAGCCTTCGTCCGCAACAACGCCATTGCAAGACAAAACATTGCTTTCACTCCCACCGCTCTTAAATCCACTATCGAAGAGACATCAGAAGCCACAATCGATACTGTTCGCACCAGTGTCGAGGATTATGTAGCAGCCCGTGGCGGAAACCTTCCCATCAAAAAGGTTTTGATTGCCAACAATGGTATGGCTGCAACCAAGTCCATCATGTCCATGCGCCAGTGGGCATACCTGGAACTTGGCGACGAACGCGCTATCCAGTTCGTCGCCATGGCCTCTCCAGAGGATATCAACGCCAATGCCGAATTTATCAGATTGGCCGACTCCTATGTAGAAGTTCCCGGAGGTGTCAACAGAAACAACTACGCCAATGTCGAGCTCATCACGAAAACGGCTATTGAACAGGGTGTCGATGCTGTATGGCCCGGCTGGGGTCACGCAAGTGAAAACCCTAGCCTCCCAACAAACCTAGCGAAGAATGGAATCAAATTCATTGGACCCACCGCTCCTGTAATGAGTGTTCTTGGAGACAAAATTGCGGCTAACATTCTAGCTCAAACCGCCAAAGTCCCCTCTATTCCATGGAGTGGATCTTTCGGTGGTCCAGATGACGGTCCATTGCAGGCGGAACTTACGGAAGAGGGAACTATTCCTGACGAGGTTTTCGCGAAAGGAACCACGAAAACTGTGGAGGAAGCTATCGAAGCCGCTAGACGTATCGGTTACGAAAACGGAATCATGATCAAGGCATCCGAAGGTGGTGGTGGTAAGGGTATTCGTTTCGTCGACAACGAAGAGGACCTCAAGAATGCCTACATTCAGGTCAGCAACGAAGTTGTTGGATCCCCTATATTCGTGATGCAACTCTGTAAGAATGCCCGTCACTTGGAAGTCCAGATTGTTGGAGACGAACACGGAAATGCCGTCGCACTGAACGGTCGTGATTGTTCTACTCAACGTCGCTTCCAAAAGATTTTCGAAGAGGGTCCTCCTTCTATTGCGAAACCTGATACTTTCAAGGAAATGCAACGTGCTGCTCAACGTTTGACTCAATCTATCGGATACGTCGGAGCCGGTACCGTTGAGTACCTTTACAACGCTGAAACCGACGATTTCTTCTTCTTGGAGTTAAACCCTCGTCTTCAAGTAGAACATCCTGTAACCGAGGGAATTTCCAATGTTAACATGCCTGCCACACAGCTTCAAGTTGCCATGGGAATCCCTTTGTACAACATCCCTGAAGTTCGTCGTTTCTTCGGAAGAGATATGTATGAAACTGACAAGATTGATTTCATGGAGGAATGGTACAAGGACATCGATACCCACGTTATCGCCGCCCGTATCACTGCAGAAAATCCCGACGAAGGTTTCAAGCCCACATCCGGTTCATTGGAGCGTATCAAGTTCCAATCCACTCCTAGTGTTTGGGGATACTTCAGTGTCGGACCTAACGGTGGAATTCACGAGTACGCCGACTCTCAGTTTGGTCACTTGTTTGCCAAGGGAGCCAACCGAGAACAAGCCCGAAAGAATCTGATTTTGGCCTTGAAAGAAATCGAAGTCCGTGGAGAAATCCGTACAACTGTTGAATATCTTGTTCAATTGTTGGAGACAGATGCATTCATCGACAACACTATCGATACCGCTTGGCTTGATGGCATTATCAAGGAAAAGAGCGTCGGTGTTGAAATGCCTGATCATCTGACCGTTGCTTCTGCTGCGATCTTCAAAGCCTTCCAACATGTCAAAGAAAGCACTGCTGAGCTTACCGAATCTCTTGCCAAGGGACAAGTGTCGACCTCCTCTATCGCTGAAATCAACTCTTTCAGTACCGAAGTTGCTTACAAGGATATCCGATACCCTTTCGATGTCGAACGTCTATCCAACGATATCTACCGTCTCACAGTTGCAGGAAATGTCATTGAGGCACGTGTCACCGAAACCAAGGAAGGAGCTCTTGTTGCCAGCTTCGGAGGAGAGACTCACAGAATTTTCGGAATGGAAGAGCCTTTGGGTCTCCGTTTGGTACTCGATGGGGTTACAATTTTGATGTGAGTATATAACATCAATCATTTGGCACTTCACTTTTCTCTTTTCTCACTCAATACTGTCTCCTTACGACAAAATTATCTGCAGGCCTACTGTATTCGATCCTTCCGAATTGCGAACTGATGTGACTGGTAAGGTAGTCCGATACCTTCAGGAAAGCGGTGGTGAGGTTAACGAAGGAGAACCTTACGTTGAAGTTGAGGCCATGAAAATGATCATGCCTTTGAAGGCCTCAGAAAGTGGAAAGGTGACACACACCGTTTCTCCTGGAACTGTTATTTCCGCTGGAGATCTTTTGGCTTCTCTTGAACTCAAGGATCCCTCCAAGGTGAAGAAGATCAGTGTGTTCGATGGAGAGCTCGATATTGCCACGGGCAACGTTGATGAAGAATCGAAGGCTGCTGTTTCGAACATTCTTGCTGGTTACACTGGAGAACCAGAAGAAGCTGTCCAAAAAGCTTTCAGCGACATCTCCGATGCTGAAGAAGCTTCGAGCTACGCGACTGAAATCCTGACTGAATTTGCACGCGTTGAAAATATGTTTGACAACAAGTTGAAGGATGACGTCGTCCGCGATATGGCTAAGGCAAACGCTGAAACTCTTGATGTTGTAATTGCCGAAAACCAAGCGCACATGAGCTTGAACTCTAGAAACCGAGTTGTTCTCTCTACCCTTCGTGAGATTGATCTTTTTGAAGATCGTTTTGGTGCCACCGAAATGTCGGCTGATTTGGAAGCTGCCATGGAAACCATCACTGCCCTCCAAGAGAAGAAATACGGAGAATTGGCGCTTGCTGCCGACACTATGCTTCGATCCTCAAAAATATCTCCATTTGCTGACCGTGTTGGCGAATTGAAGGCAACTCTTCTGGACTCGAACACTGACTTGGCGAAACTTTCAAAGAGCTCTACTCTATCTGCTGGTGTGGATCTTTTGACTTCACTTTTCAATGATTCCGATGAGACTGTGCGAAATGCTGCCGTCGAAGTTTATGTCCGTCGCGTATACCGTGCTCACCGAATGAAGGAAATTACTGTCTCCGAGGAAGATGGAAAGGTTGTGTGCGATTTCACCTTCCAGTTCTCTGATGTCGAAGCCTCAGATGCTGTAGACCGACACGGAAGATTCTGTGTTGTTCCCACTTTGGACAGTATCAATGACGATCTTTCCAAAATCATCGACAGTTTCTCCCAATCGCTTGGCGAAAAGCCCACGAAGGTTGGCGATGAACTGATCAATGTACTCCACATTGCTTCCAGTGATAACGAAGAAGGTGACGTCGAGAAGATGGAAAGTGCCATTATTGGAGAGAGCGACAAATTGACCCAACTTGGTGTTCGCAACGTCCACATCGTCATTCCGAACGAAAGAGCGGACCCTTACTACTACACTTTCCCCGAATGCGAAGGCTACAAAGAAAATGCATTGCGTAGAAACATGAGACCTACGTTCCATCACCTTCTCGAGCTCTCTCGTCTTCAGGAGAATTTCAATGTCGACCGCATCCCAGCGATCGCAAAGAATACTTTGGTGTACGTTGGTGTTGAAAAGACTGATAAACCCGTCAGAGGAGGTCCGCCACAGGTTGTCTTCCTTCGTGCAATTTCGAACAGCCCTGGCATTGTTACCGCAAACGGTGCACGAAGAATGCTTCAAAATGGTTTGGATGAACTCGAACGTTCGCAGTCAAATCCTTCCGTCAACTCTCAGTCGTCTTCTCGCATTTTCCTTCACTCTCTTCGTGAGCTTGAAGGTGTCACCCCTGAACAAGTAGGTGAGAACTTCAAAGAACTTATCGGTTCATTGAAGAGTGAACTTGCCCCTCGTCTGCTCAAGTTGCGTGTAGATGAAATTGAAGTCAAGGTTCGTATTCAATCCACTGGATCTGATGGTGAAACTGTTAACCAATCGGTTCGACTTGTCGCCTCTTCCATTGGTGGAGAATGGTTGAAGCCTGCAATCTATCTCGAAGAACCCGACCCTGTAACTGGAGTCTCCGAGAAGTACTGTCTTGTCGATCCTAACAGTGACGAAGAAATGTGCATCGTTGATTCGTACGGAGGAAGCAATCTTGTACAGACGAAGCGTGCCATCGCGCGTCGTGTTGGATCTACTTATGCGTACGATTTCCTTGGTCTCATGGAAGTTGGTCTCATCAGTGAGTGGAGCAACTACGTCAAGGAAACAGGAAACGAAATGGATATCCCTGCCTCGGTCTTTACCGCCAAGGAGTTCGTCGAAGATGGGGAAGGTGGCATTGGTCTTGGATCCCGAATCATTGGAAGCAACAAGATTGGAATGCTCGCATGGCTCATTACAATGAAGACACCCGAGTACCCTGAAGGTCGTGATATTGTCTTGATTTCCAACGATGTCACTGTCCAAAGTGGTTCCTTCGGAGTTGCTGAGGATGAGTTCTTCTACGCGGCCTCTAAGTACGCTCGTGAACACGATATCCCTCGTCTCTACATTTCTTGTAACGCTGGTGCCCGCATCGGTCTCGTTGATGAATTGAAGTCGAAGATCAACATCAAGTTTGTCGACGAGTCGAGTCCATCCAAGGGATTTGAATACCTTTACCTCAAGGATGAAGATTACAAGGCGCTCCCCGCAGGAACTGTTATTGCTGAAGAAGTCAGCGAAGGATGGGCAATCTCTGATATTATTGGAACCAATCACGGAATCGGAGTTGAAAACCTCCAAGGAAGTGGAAAGATTGCTGGAGAAACATCTGCTGCATACGACGAAATCTTTACTCTCAGTTATGTTACCGGACGAAGTGTAGGTATTGGTGCCTACCTTGTCCGACTTGGACAGCGTGTCATCCAAATGAAACAGGGCCCTATCATCTTGACTGGATTCTCTGCCTTGAACAAGCTTCTCGGCCGCAGTGTGTACAATTCTCAAGATCAACTCGGTGGACCTCAAATCATGTACCCCAACGGTGTTTCGCACGAAATTGTTGATGACGATCAACAAGGAGTTGCGTCTCTTCTCAACTGGTTGAGTTTTGTGCCCAAGAAGGTTGGTGCTCTCCCTGCAGTCCGTGGAAGCGGTGATTCTCCGGACAGAAAGGTGGCATGGAGACCTACTCCAACTCCATACGATCCTCGTTTGATGATGGCCGGTGAAGGCAATGACTTGGGTTTCTTCGATAAGGGAAGTTTCAAGGAGTACCTTGCTGGATGGGGTAAGAGTGTTGTAGTTGGACGTGGTCGCCTTGGAGGTATTCCGTTCGGTGCCATCGCCGTTGAGACTCGACAGGTTGAGCAGGTCGTCCCTGCCGATCCCGCCGATCCTAACTCTCGCGAGGCAATTCTTCCCCAAGCCGGACAGGTCCTTTACCCCGATTCCTCTTACAAGACGGCACAAGCAATTAATGACTTCAAGAAGGAAGGACTTCCCGTCATGATTTTTGCCAACTGGCGTGGATTCAGTGGAGGAAGCCGTGATATGGCCGGCGAGATTTTGAAATTCGGAGCTATGATTGTTGACGCCCTTCGCGAATACGAACATCCTGTTTACATGTACCTGCCTCCGCACGGTGAACTTCGTGGAGGATCGTGGGTCGTTGTGGACCCCACTATCAACGAAGACAAGATGGAAATGTATGCCGATCCCGACTCTCGTGGAGGTATCCTCGAGCCCGCTGGTATCTCCGAGATCAAGTTCCGCACTCCGGATCAGGTCAAGATGATGCACAGACTCGACGAACAACTCGGCCTCCTCGATGCCGAGCTCGAGAGTGACTTCGAAGACTCAAAGAAGGAGACCGAGAAGCAGATCGTGGCGCGCGAAGAGGCCCTCAAGGGTGTCTACCTGGCTGCTGCCACCGAGTTCTGCGACTTGCACGACAAGACCGGACGCATGAAGGCCAAGGGAGTCATCAAGGACGCCGTTTCGTGGGAAGATTCTCGTACCTTCTTCTTCTACCGAGCCAAGCGTCGAATGTACGAGGACAACTTCATCGACCAGATCAAGTCTGTTGATGCCTCTGCCACTCGTGCCAGTGGCTTGGAGATTCTTCAGTCGTTGTATTCGGGAGACTGGGAGGACAACAAGGCCGTTGCCGCGTTTTACGAAAGTGAAACCGATGTTGTCAATGCCAAGATTGCTGAACTCAAGAAGGCATCCATCCAAGCCAAGATGGATTCTTTGAAGGCGGAACTCGACAGCATGTAAGAAACGTTTTTGTTTCAGGGAAGTACGTGTGTGTTGATCGATTTCGATTTATATAGTTAAGTATCTAAATACATACCATTAGTAACTAGCACGCTTCGTCTGCATACAAGTACTACTCATATCGTACAGAGCGACAAAGCTTCATTTTGTACAGTGAAGAAGGTGTAGACCAGAGTGCACTACTTTTCGGGTAGTAACGATTCGGAGAACAAGTCCGCGTGGGGTCAGAGTTCTTCTCTGCCCACCACGGCGGCCCGGAGGGCTCCGGGTATGGATTGCGAGGCGCCCAGTGCACCAAACCACCGCAGGATCCCCGTTGCCAGGAGGACGGCGGCATAGGCCACCGCCAGTTCGACGGCGTACCCGGGCACGCCCGCCCACAGCACGAGCCCGGTGGAGGGTCTCCCCCCCGCCTTCCGCCGCGACGCCGCGGCCTTGGTCTCCCGGACCAGGACCCCCCACTCGTCCCTGAACCGCTCCGTCCCAAAGACCTCTTCCACGTGTTTTTTTCCGGCCCGGCCCATGGCCGTGGCCCGTTCGGGGTTCCTTGTCCACTCCAGGAGGGCCGTCCCAAARGCGGAGGGGGTCGGTTCCCGCAGGTATCCCGTGATGCCGTCCCGGACCGTTTCGACGGGCCCGCCCGAGTTGACCGCCAGGACGGGGGTCCCGGCGTGCATGGCCTCGAGGGGGACGATCCCGAAGTGTTCCCGGTCGGGCGTGTAGACCACGCAGAGGGCGGTCTGGAAGAGCGAGGCCCGCTCCGCGTCCGAGATGTCCAGCCGAAAATCCACGTCCACCTTTAGTTCTTTCGCGAGGGTTCCCAGCTCGCCCCGGTACTCGACGTTTTCTGCGTTTCGTGCGTCGTACCCACCGGCAATCACGAGGGGCGGGAGGCCCGCYCCACCGTCTCTGACCTGGACGTACGCGTACGCCCGGATCAGCAGGCCGATGTTCTTTTTCCGTTCGAACCGATTCAGGGACACAATGGGGGATCGGCTTGTTTTGTCGGTGTTGTTGGATTGGACCATGGTGGAGGTATCCAGAGCGGGATACAAGACCTCGATGGGCTGCAGGGGGCGTCGTCCCTGTTGTTGTTGTTGTTGTTGTTGTTGCTGCTGCTGCTGCTGCTGCTGTTGCTGCTGCCGGTGTTGTTCCCTCCGCCTCGCCGACAAGACCGGAAAATGTTCTTCCACCACTCCCAGGGTAAACCCGGAATTGACGACCAGCGTGTCCGCGAGTCCCATCGTGGATTCCTCTACCGCGTCGAGGGCCTTCCTGTACCACTTTTTGAGCAGCCCGCCCCGCTGGTTCCGCAGCAGCAGCTTGTCGGGGAAGTGGCAGTAGAAGAGCACGCCCGCGCGGGACATCCATCCCAGGAGCAGCGGAAGGGAGGTCGGCAGGACGTCCACCACCACCACATCGGCCGACCCGTGCCCGCCTCCGGAAGAAGCGGAAGACACCACCCTGTAGGTCAGGTAGAGCATCCGCACCGTCGACATGAGCGCCGTGGCCACCCCGGAGATGTTCGGGGGGATCCACCTCCCGTAGACCCTTACGCAATCGGAGAGCTCCCCGTTCGGCCGCTTCACGGAGGCGAAGCAGTGGTCCTGGTCGCACCGCGTCGTGACGATTTCCACCCGGTGTCCGAGTTCCCTGGAGGCCCTGGCGAGCTGGAGGACGAGCTGCTCCGCCCCGCCGATCCCGAGGTCGAGGTGGACAAAGACGACGTGGAGGGGACGGTCTTGTTCGCGGTCCGGGTTGTCGCTGTCGCGGTCGCTGTAGCTGTTGCCACCGGCTGCGTCGCTGGTGCTGGCTCCGGCTCCGGCTTTTGCTTTTGATTCTSTTTCTGTTTCGGCTGCCATGGTGTCGTTTGTTATGGGTGGAAGAATCCTAGACGCCGATGAACGTCTTCTAGTTCCTACCGTGCTCGTACTGTATCGGGATGATGGTGTTTGTTCACCTGGTATGATACGGTACCAAAAATGTCAAAATGGGAATAAATCGATCGGGGGATACAATACAATACTCGGTGTTCAAAATTCAAAATCACCCCCTAAAGAGTGCAAAAGTCCAGGCTTATTCCCCCTTTTCAACACATTCCAACATTCTCGATCATCGACCGCAAATTTGTTGATGCCGTCTCGAACCCACCCACACTCCCTGAATGTGTTTGGAATTGGAATCGACTCATCTCTCGACTCACCGCGAGCCAAAGCAATACACTTCAGTATATTCAGTAAACAACGGTACTACGTTAGCACGGGACGTCTTTCACTCAGTCCCTCGACCCACA